GGTTACTACAGAGTCAGGATCATGGAAACCCTAAAAACCCTAGCTTTAGCCAGCGTCTCAAAGCTTTCAGGCTCACCACTATATAGCTGGGAAGCTAGCAGCCCTGGCTACAGATCCTGCATCCAGTTCCTCAGGTGGAGTCCTAGAAGTCAGGAGCAGCAAGCTACATTTGATTTCAGAAAAATCAGGCAGTTAAAAGAAATAAAAAATCAGATCTTTTCTGCTATGGCAAGTGTGCGGGCCCTCTCCCGATCCCACCTGGATTGCCATGTGCGAGTTCTCTCTCGATCCCATCTGGGTCGCCATGTGCGAGCCAGGGGCGAGCCGGGCCCGTCTTTGTGCACACAGGCTGTGGCCGGCAGCCCGGGTACACGGGGCTGGAGAAAAACCGCGGCGCGGTTTGGTACGCTCGAGCTAGAATCAGTCACGGAGGCGTAATGGTTGATTGAAAAGATTATTTACTTACACCCAAGGTGGTCGCGGTGTAGGCTGGTCAGCTTTCCAGGCACAGCTTCACTTGAGTTCTCAGTGGAGGACTCTAATAAACTCTGTTCCTTGACCCCGGAGTGATTCAGGCTCCGTAGGGTCAAGAATTCATTCCCACAGAGCAGCTGTATCTCCGTGAGTGTTACTCGGTTCCCAGGTCCCCCGGAGCTGTTAAAACTCCGTGGGTTCGACAATTGGGTCCTTAGGACAGGGATACGTCTGGACTGCGATCGGCGACGGGGAGAGGCTAGAGGTTAGTTGCCTCGGAGTTGTTAAGGCTCCGAGCGTTCGGTAAATAGGTCCCCCGGAGTTGTTGAAGCTCTGTGGGTTTGACAAATTAAACCTCTGTTGCCCTCTTAAGGAAAAAGCTGGGTTCGTATGGATCAGCAGCGCTTAGAGATCTTCATGCTCCTTTCCCGAACTCCACGTGCTTTCTCTCTCTCCAACTTGGGCGGAAACTACCCAAGCCTTTTGTACGGCTAGCAAGCCAATAGCTAGCCGCCACGTATGCCTACATTTAGAACCGGCCAATAATGTGGCACGAATCTAAATACAAATGGCAGGAACTCCTTTGCATCGTGCATCACCATAATGCAAAAGAAATGCACTATGCAAAGAAAGCTACAGAACTGGCAGGAAAAACTCCTGCACGCGGGTTCTCCGTTACAACAGAACACTCCACCGTGCAAAAGAGCTGCAATTTGGCGGGAACATGATTTAGCGATGCCGAAGCACACACAAACAAGAAAAACCACAACTTTGGGTTGTGACAGCAAGCTTAAAAATATGCAGTGATTCTTCTGGAGAAGACTGAGAACATGTTTCAAATGCTGGAATTTCCCACACACAAAAATTCTGAGTTTAAGTAGCAACATTAGCAGTTCCCTTAACAGCAGGCATTTATGTTCTCTGCCATTTTCAACTGAAATGAGCTTATATTTTTATAAAGATAAAACATTGTGTTTATTGGCAGGAGTGGGAGTGAAGAACACCATGTGGATTGTATGCATTGTGTCACAAACAATAAAGAGCCTTTCACTGAGGAGCAGTTCATAGTATTAATCCAAATCTTTTCTATAAGCTTTAATGGAAGCTAGGCATGTTGGTTGTAGCCATGTTGGTCTAGGGACATAGGCAGACAAGGTTCTCTGGGTAAATCTGATATATTTTATTAGACCAACTAAAATAGTCAGACAAATTCTTCTTTGCAAGCTTTCGGGTACAAAACACTGTTCTTCAGGCAGAGGGTCCTTCTGCCTGAAGAAGGGTGTTTGTACCCAAAAGCTTGCAAAGAAGATTTTTTCCAATTATTTTACCTGATCTAATAAAATATATCAGATTTACCCAAAGAACCTGGTCTGTTTAATAGGAGCCATCCACTTAAATACCCTGCAAAGACATAAAAGAATGACCACTATTAGTGTGAAAATAGTCAGCAAGTCCCATAATTTACAGAAGCCAAGGGGAAATTCATGTATTTAAAGTCATGTATATAAGGTCTGTATTTAATAGAAAAATGACACTTCAAGGAAGTATGTCCCTCCACATTTAAATTATTGTCTTTCTTTAGGCTTTTATGCAGTTAATGATAGATTATATTTTGTTTTTCAGAGATTTTCTAATTTTGTCGTTAGCGAGTATACATCTGCTGCTTCAGCGCTCCAAGGTACCAGTTTCAATTAGTGTAATATTCTCATTAAATGAAGACATCTATAAAGTCTATGGCACAGATGCAACAGAGGGAAAAAGGGTAATATAGGTCAGCTGGAATCTCTCTGTTAAATCAACACTGGGGCCTTCTAAGAGAAAAACAATGCTCTTATTAGTACAAATATTACATGAATTAAAATTAGGCTGTTATGTGCATTTAGTTTGTAGCAGTAAGCCTCAGCCCTAGGAGAGAATAGCTGCACCAGTCTAGTGGGAGTTCCTTGAAATGTTCTGGGGTGCATCTGTTCTTAGCAGGCTGGTTCTACTCTCTCCTCCAGGAGAAGCCAAGCTCTATTGGCCTGGCCACAAAGAAAAAAGATAGGGATCCATCTTTCTCCTATAAAAGTCAAGTATTGTCTTGAGCTCTATACTCAAAGACTTTGTTATTCAGGGGAGAACAAGTATTGACATTATACTTGGTCCCTGCTTAGGCATGTGACTGTGTCATGTCTCTCGGTGCCCTCTTTTCTGCTTTGGGCATCTAAACAACATTACATAAATGAGCCCACTAAACAAAAATCTAATTTGAAACAAATCATTTTAATAACCTACAAATTAAACCTTCAAACATCTTATGCATTGTAGCATACAAGTATCAATCTTTCTGTTCAAGTAGCTCAATCCTAAGAAGTTATCAGTGTCCCTTTGGCCTTTCCAACAAGAAATTTAAAAGAAGAATAAGTTAACAGTTGTGCCATAAAAATTCAAGTTTCAGTGTAGACAGGACTCGGTCATTACCATCACCCTTTCTATGAAAAAGATTGTTACACAATAGTGTTTATGTCATTGCTAGAAGAGTTACAGCTGGCAATTTTTACAGAAAGTGGAGCACAAACCACAGAGAACTAATAGTGAAGTCAAAGAGTTTGTGCAGAGCAACAATAAGCAAAACTTGAAGGGAAAGTTAAGGTTGAGGTTTATGTTTTGTATATGACCAGAGCTCAGGAAAGAATAACTAGATACAATGCTTTATCCTCATGTCAGAGCAGGGTGGGAATTCTACTTGTTTATATCTCCACAGTCATAAATCAAAAATGCAAATAAATCTATTCCCTCGGTAAACCAAAGGGCCTTTACAGTTCTTAGTTTGTCTACAGCACTTTTATCATGTTTTTTACTGTGTAATTTAAGCAACATTAAATGTTTTATCAATGTGGATTTTTTCAGTTTTTGAGAGCAATGTAACTTAATGTAAAAGATGTGGCCACGATTAGCGTCAGCAATAATGCTATTGAACTGATTGGCATCACAGCAGGAAAGAGGTTTGCCCCTAATCTTCTCTAATAGCATGCAATATCTGGTCTAATTTGTTAAATGCCATTTAAAATGGTGTGAGAAGAGGGTGGTTTTAAGCAGAGGCCAGCAATCATTTTAATTTAATTCCACAGTCAAACTGTGTGTGATAATTTCAGACACTTCACTGAATGAGGACAAATCAGTTAAATTAAAATAAAAACTGAGGTCTGAGTTTTAGATCACAGAGCTGAGTGAGGGTTGAGAGAGTTGTAGCTGGGGTAAGATACCATAATCCATTTTCACTTGCTGTTTGTGGTTTAAATAAAGTCAGTCAGACAAGATTGGTTTCATGTCAGTGCTAGGAGAAAAAAAAAAAAACAAAAAAAAACAACACATTTTGAAGACAGGCATAAATCCCTTCCTGTACCTATGAAGCCAAGACACCTGATTTTCAAGGTAACCTGTCTCAACAGTTCACAATCCACAATGTCCCTTTGGAAAATCCTCAACTGAACTAAAATAGGTATCTTGTGTGCTCAACAAACAGTTTAGGCAGATAGCTTTGTGTGGCTCATCTTCCAGACTCAAACATCACCCAAATAGTTTAGGAGGACTAGTGGCATTTAATTCAGAAACCTTCATACAAACTAGGGAAAGTTCCACATTTCTATTTACTATCATGATACTGTTATTACTGCCTCTCAACACCATGGTAATTCCTGCCACCTCCAAAATAAACTATTTCCTTGAAGTTCTGCTTACCATATATTTATCCGGTTAGGATCAAGCACCTCTGAAACTTAGCCACAAATGTGTTTAGGATCTGACACTAAAACGTATCTAATACATTCCAGAACAAGTAGCACTGCACCCTATATTATTACATGAGGTTTCAGGTCATCTGTAGAAAAAGCACAGTGGTAATAATCACACCAGTTTGTTAGGCCCTAGAACTGTTTCTGTTATCATGATGCAGGGAAAATGTGGGGAAGGAGGTTGAGGAAGGAAACCTTAAATTAAAGCTGATCATATAGAACTAGCTGCTAAGAATATAAAGGAGAAAACCTGTGTGCTCAGGAAAGATGAGCTGTTGAGAAAATTCAATCAGCACGAATCTGCTCATGTAGCAGGAGCTAACATATGGACAGCTGTAGAAAGTCTTAAGTATCTCCCCAAAGATAGTTAAAGGGAGAAGTGAAAGAGGGACAGTTGTAGAAAAGGAGCTTGTTTGATACAGACTGTCTTGTTCAATACACCAAAATTTCAGCCAGAGACTGCCAATGCTAAAAATATGGGGCTGGTAGGGATCCCTAGAAGATATTTAAACACACTTATTTTCTGTGGATAATGCACAGCAGCAGACCAATAATACCTATCTAGTAGTATGCAACATTAGCATACTCTAGGATTGCTTAAAACAGCTTGAGGGTTGCAAACTTAACACATTGCAAATTCAGAAGATAAGAATTCAAGCTTACATCATGAGCTTTATCATCCAGTTCTATATATTGCTTGATTTGTGAGCAAGAGAAAAGAAAACACTCTCTCGAGGAATTAAGCATACTCACCAGATAAACAAAAAGGTGACCCTGTTCAGCCTGTAGCAGCCATACACAAAATAACCTCTTAGGGTTGCTGCTGCTTCTCTCTCCCAAATGCAAACAAGAAGAGCATGTTGGGAAGGGTTGCAAAGAATGGGCACACCCACACATAGTAAAAGCCAATCAATTGCAAAAGAAATGTTTCTCAGGGGAAGGGTTGAATCTATGTGAAGGTTAGCAGTTTTGTTGAATTCACCTATATGCATTTTTAAAGTTAAAGTGTCTTTGACTAGTTGTAACTTTTTATTTTCATGTAGTAATATGTCTAGAATAAAAAACGGGACAGTTTTTAGGGATGTAAACCATTACATATGCTTGAAAACTATTACTGCATCATATTATGGAACTGAAATAAAGTGAATGATTTATATAATTGAGACTCTAATACACTAGAATTCTGTGACTGAAAGTTCTTTACAGGAAGCCAAATAGTTGTGTGGTATAGAAAAGTACCTGGCATAAATGTCTAAGAGCTGGAAAACAAAGATCAGAAGTAAATAGCCAATTTTCAACATGACCAAAGGTTAACGACAAATTTCACTGCTTCTAAAGAGTGTGTGTGGGCATGTCTACATGTGCGTTTACACCGGCTTAAATTTACTGCGCAGTAAGCTACAGCTCAGTAAACAGGAATAGGCCAGTGTTTACACATGTAGGCATTAAAGCACATTAACGTGTGTGTGGACTGACTTGGGACTAAAGTTAGTTCCAGGTCAGTCCACACACACCATGTTACTGTGCAGTAAGGCATCTACATGTGCATTACTGTACAGTAACTAATCAAATGTAAATGTGATATCTGCATTTTGTAGGTATCAAATTTACGCTCAAGTTGGCATAAGTCAGTGTATTTACTGCACAGTACAGGCATGCATGTGTAGACACGTGCCTGCACTGCACAGTAATTTTGGTTACTGTTCAGTAAAGGCACACATGTAGATGCTTCCTGTGTTGCTTAATTTATTTATTACTAAACCCAAAAATGGGTAAAAAGTGAATTCTGAGCAATTCTGATGATGCAACATTATTCAGGATATCTAAGTTAGGGGACTTTATCAAAGTTAGGTGAAATTCAATTGTGACAAGTGAAAGGTGAATATTCCCAGATGCAAAGTGATGTATATTGAAACTGGGTTCAAATGAATATTTGATCAAAACAGTTAGGCCAAAATGCTACCAGAATAGTAGAATTGTCCCAAAAAGCAAAACAAAAAAACAAAAAACTCTTAGACTTAAATCCAAAAATGTTTACATATAGAAATAAATGGTTGAAGCATCCACATAACCTTAACTGGTATCATTCATAGAGCGATGATTGTTGCATAATTTAAGTGTTCATCTGAGATTAGATGCACTTGATTAAAAAAAAAAATAACGTTAAAAAATTCTCCGAGGGCCCCTCTACACGACAGTAAAGGTGCAATGTGATCTGATGCACAATCCACATAATCGTGCCTTCTGCCATGCCATATGTGCATGGCAGGTGGCAAATTTGTGGGATTGAGAATCATCCCATCACAATTTACTGCCGGTGCAGGAGGGACCCAATCCCAGGCTCCCCCTGCACAGGCAAGAGGCAAGCTCCCAAGGCTCGGAGCCCCATCAGTTGGTTGGAGCTCCCAACTAGGGACTCCCAGCATATGCTTCTGCAGCTTGAAGCCCTATCAGCTGACAGATCTCAGCCATGGGGGCGTCCCACGCACCCCTGTGGCTGTGAAACCACAGTTGACACAGCATCCCACCCACCTCAGTTGTGGCCTTGCAGCCACAGAGGTACCTGGATCACATCCGTGCCTAGTACACTGCATTAGCTTCCTATTTGGGCTTTTCCATGCCTTGACCTGTTTAGATTTCTTTTAAATTTAAACTTTCTTGTTTTGTAATCTATTTACCTCCATATTACTAATGTGTACCCCAACCTTAGCTCCATTTTAGGAAAGCACTTTTTTATTGGTAAATTGGTTGGTTGATTTTTGAGTATCCATGTGATTATAAATGCAGCATCAATTTTATAAATTAATTTCAAGGATCATCAGAATTAAATGTGTTTGCTCCAGTAATAGAAAATTCATTTAGTTGTTCAAAATACTGCTATTTAGCTAAGTTTCTCAAACTCCATTTTAAAGGCATGTACTTTGTTTTAATTTTTAAAAAAAGTAAATGCTGTTTCACAATAGTTTTTAAGCTAACTTTAAAACCATAACTAGGTCTTGATATTTTAGACTGGTATTTTGTTAAAGCACCAAGCTCATCAGAATACTCTTTACTTTTGAATGGTGGGCTACAACTGCTTATATGTGAAATTAGTAACAAAATACTTTCCTTTCTGTCACAAAAAGCCTTCTACTACATATTGGGTGAGGAAGGCTTGGAAATTTCAATTGCCTTTTCCAAATTGTCTGACCAGAATTCCAGAACTTAAAGGCCATTAAATGAGAATAGATTGCTGAGATACATATATTCAGGATAATATAGCCCAGCTTTAAAAGGGTCCATCATAAAAATTAGCGCAAATGCACTTTACAACTCTTCACAGAAGAAATCAGCATATCTACTGCCTAATGTCAATAGAATAACCATGAATTACTGGTTTTGCTTCATCCTCCTCATAACTTTTTATAGATTCATATGATTTACCATAACTTTCTTCTCTTCTGTCTTGTTTTATAACCTCTTTAAAGTCATCCAAAAAGGCATCTTAGAGACAAAATAGTAGAATTCTTTTGTGCCCTTTGAGGACCCTAGACATATTTATGAAGCTTGTTCTTTGCCCTTTACCATTGCTACCTATATTAAGCGCTAAGAATGAATATTCTTAACACTTTACTTTAGAATAAGGTGTGTTTTTCACCTCCTACTTTTGTTTCTCATTACAGGAGTCCTAGTTCTTTTAAGATCTCCTATACTGCAGGCCTGCAGAAAATGTTTTTCCAGGTTTCATGCAAAAGGCAGATAGCTGGTATTTCTAAGCAATTAATTCAGCTGAACTCCACAGGAGCCTGAAAATGAGCATCTAACATAACAGTGGCATTTGAGGCTCTTGAGGTAACTTTTCTTCTGTAATGCTATTGCCTTGTTCCCCTATGAGCAGAAATAAAAAGAAAGCAGTGTCACTTTTTGAAAGATTTTATTATATTGTATTAGCTACCTTCCTTTTCATTTAGCATTTTCTATTTAAATTGTTAATATTGATTTTTTTATAATACAGAACAAAAGTCATTTGTGGTTGGCTTTTTCATAATTGCAGTGACTTTTGTATTACACTAGGGAAGATGAATATTGATACAACTGTGTCAAGAATTTATAATGCAATAAAACACAGTGCCATTCAGAACAGAAATAACACTGCTCACCATTCTGGCTAAGTTTAAACAATGCCTCTAAAAGTGGTGAGATGACGTTTCTTACCTGTAAGTGGTGTATTTTCAGTGCAAGAACAATGTACAAGTTAATGGATTTTTCCACTTACATCTCATTTGGATGAGCACATGAACTTTTGCTGCACGTTTCAGTGCATCTCTGTTAAATAGCATACAAAGCAGAGCTATTTCAACACCCTGGGCAGAGTAAGATGGGCGGGTAGGCAGCACGTACTGTGCTGAGTGCCAGAGAGCAGGGGTTGGGGGACCAGTCTTGCCTGCCATGGCACAGGGTCTCCACACTATGGCTGCTGCTGCAGCTGGAGCAGCAATACAGCCTCGGGTTGCTGCAGCTGCAAAATGAGCTCCCTGAACACCCACTGCAGCATCCCCTGCAATGCAGACTCCCTGGTAGTCACCATTCTGGCACTGTCTTTAAATCATTGCCCAGTACTGGTGCCCCACTCCTAATTATGCTTCTTATAGGAAGAATAGGCTGCATAACATATAGAGCCTTGAATTTAAGCACATGTGTGACTGCAAGGTTTTGGGATGTCCCCTACAACTTCTGAGGCACTGAGCAATGACTGCCTTATGTCTTAATAAGAATACTCTCAAACCATGATGGAGAAAAATGCCTGCATGGTGGTAAAGGTTAAGAGAAAAGCACTACTAACCTTATGTAAAATCATTAAGTAATTAATACCTTACGCAGTCCAGAATGAACTCAGATTAATGAACAAGTATTACCATAACTAATTAAGTATTACCATAACTAATTCACACACAGGATAAGTCCAGGGTAAGTTATATGACAGAGCTAGGTCAGGAGCAGCAAGAATGAGAAACAACAGAATTTTATAGGCTGGGTCACTGTGAACTAATCCTGTTCAATCTGAAAAATACCATTAATTCATAATGCACAGTCCACAACATAATGGAGCTGAAAAACTGCCACTGGTACCTAGGAATCATTCCCTGGTGAGCGGGGCCTGAGCCCTCAATTTCTGTCAAATTCCATATTCTATTAATCTTTTTTAAAACTCTTAAGATTTGAATTGTTGTTTTAGCCCATGTGATCCTTCAAAATGCAATAGGTCGATAGTACAGAAACAAGTGAACATGAGGTAAAGGATGACAGTTCTTTACAGCACATCAGATGATTTACAGTAATTGATCATGTACATACTCTTAGCACAAAAAAACCTCATTGTATCTTAACTTTCAGTGAAGAAAGGTTAAGATACCATGGATTTAGCTTTAGAGTATGCATATGGGCAGTTACTATGGATTAGTACTATGAAGCTCTACCCTTTATTACCTTGGAGGTTACTTGTCATGTTCTCATGAACCTACTGCAAATAGGTTGCTTCAGTGCCTCTCTCGTTGCTCATAGGTTTCCCAAATGGCAATGGAATGAGATTAGTACCATTCCAGACAGATTCTATAGAGGAAACTTATGCAGAGTAGTGACTGATATTAATTTTACTCTGCTGCTTTTGGAAAACTATTAACAGCAAGAAATGCAGGCCTTGAAGATATTCCGGAAAGAGGAAAACTCAAAAGATAAACACTATGGATTAGCAAGCATATTGAAGAATCATATAATCATTGGTTGATTGGTATTGCAACACAAAGATCCTTACATTGCCTTCAATGACTTGACTAAGGCCTTTGACTTAATCAACAGAGAAACCCTATGAAAGATCAT